GTTTCTTTTGTAACTTCGGGTTCAGAGCCCTCTCTCAAACGTCCCTCAGATAGTTATTGAAAAGAAAATAAATGACAAGTTCAAAGAGGAACTGTGTCTTTAGTGGAACCGCTAATAACTTAAAGATGCTTGATATGCGACAAGAAGTCTGTACAGGAGGTGTTCGGCAACGGCAGTGAGCTGTGGGTCACCTGTAGTTCAGGAAGCACTGAAAGCCCTCATACACGATCACTGCTTGTGAAACACCAGACTTGAAGAATAAAAATGTGCTCACATTTACAGGCAATAAATGCAAGATGTTACATCACCTGTGCAGACGAGTGGATTAATTAAAATAGCATGTCTGTTCTGTAGGATGCATGAAGTGTAACGGACAACTGAAGAACACAACTGAAACATTTTAGGGTTTCAGGAACCACTGGTTCAGTGTCAAACAATGTGTTATAGGCTTATAATATGTGTTTCACTTTAGCTGCAATTATAATCTTTCAGGTAAATGTGATGGAGTAAAACCTCTCTGTATAATGTAACCTGGAATTAAAACACTCAGGTAAGTACCTCAACACTGTGCTCAGTATCTGAAGACGTGCACTTAGCTGCTTTCCACCACTTTGCCTGGATCAGATTTTTGACTTCAGGTTTGCTTATTTTCAAAAACCACCACATTATCTGAAAGGAGCAGAGTTCAATCAATATATCATGTTCATATTCATGCACCAACTTTTGATTGTATTTACAGTCTGTCAGGCAAGTTCCCCCGTGATGTTCCAGAGACAGAACAATGGGTGGTAAATGGAAAACCAGCATGGGACCTCAAGATCAAAATCTCTTCTAAAAGACTCCTGGCAAATGTCAAAATGGCTGCACAATTGTGATTTTAATTGGCAGACATGTATTTATTATCTGGTGTGATCTCTCTCTGTAATGAAATATTTGTAGAAGCAAAACACAAAAGAGCAGCACAAAGACAGGAGTGTGGTACGCTCAATCTGCAATGATTGCATTAGGTACTAATTCCATGGTGGGTATGATAACACTTCTTCTAAATCAATGTCAGACCTGTTCAGTGTGCACAGGCGGAGAAAAATCCACTAGAAATATAAAAGACCACCGTAGTACCCTTACAGTCACACCGGCAGGGTTTCTAGGGAAGCTAATGTAAAACTGGAGATAAAAGTTAACCTGTAGTGGACGTTGTATATTTACAACCGAAAAAATGTTTTGAGTTTTGGAAACGTACTTAATTTTGATGAATTATGGGACGCTGGCAAATGGTAAAACATTGGGTAATAACATGAGTAAAGGAGCTTCAAAAACTCAACGTACTGGCTTAGTAATCGTCACCACATTGTCAAAGCAAACCCAGTTAGCATAAGTTACTGCTAACATCAGGATAAATAAGGTGGTGGCGACAGTAATCATGAGCGCAACCCTGAGTTTTGTTATATTGCTTGATCCTATTTGTTCAGCTTTGATTTGAATGTGGGTATAATGTGTTATTTCTTCTTTCACAAGCTACACTCTCGTTTGACAATCCTATATACAAGGTGTGTCAGAAAAGTTCCAGGACTGGTGTCACAAAAGATATATTTCAAACCCAAACTACAAACTAGGAGTTTTCTTCTTCAGATGATCAATCAGCACGTCTACAAAGAGATCCTGCAGCGTTTGCTTCGTTCAGTGCGCGAGAGGTGAGAGTTGCAGCAGGACAAGTCGTGGCTGCTTCACCATGACAGCGTTCCTGCTCACAATGCCCTGAGCATCCCACAGTTCCTGGCTGAGAAGAACATCTCCGTGCTGGAGCAACCTCCCTACTCACCCCACCTGACTCTGTGGGATTTTTTCCTCTTCCCCAAGGTCAAGGGGGTCATCAAGGAGACCCGTTTTGAAGACGTGGACGACATCAAGATGGCTGTGAGGATGGAGCTGAGGAGGATCCCGGAAGAATCTTTCCAGGAGTGCATGGACACCGCCATGCACTCCTGGAAAGATTAGGGGGGAGAAGGCTGGGGAAGTGCGTTAAACTCTAGGAGGATTACTTCTGAAACGTTTCTGACACACCTCGTGGTTGCGCCAACTGCACATGAGCTAGGACAGCAAATGGTGCTGAAAACAAATACTTGTAAAAAGGACAAGCTGCACAAAGAGATTCTCAACAACCATACCTTCATCATTAATCATTAAAGAGTTGGAATTGAAGAAGCAGCTGCAGGACTTTGGAGGAGCTTTGATTCGTACATTGATGGTGCTCAAAAACAGTGGGGGATTCTAAACTCTCTCGAAATCCTGTGCTTATCAGGAATAATCACTGCCACAGCATTGTTTGTAAGCCACTACATATCCTGTAAAAGTATAAAGTGACAGCCTCTTAGAAATGTCCACAGGAATCGTGTGTGTCTTTCAGTGTTCGATATGAGGGACGACGTGACCCCTGCATACCAGACTGATGCGTACTCATTGTCGTATGAAAAGACTCATGCACGCATCCTTTGTCCGCTTTCACAATCTGCATGAGTCATGTGAAAATCAGAAACTGGCCTTCACACCTATATTTCCTCCACTACAGCTGAAACTAACCACGTCTTTGGTGTTGTTTTGTTGTTCTCGTGCAACCGTATCTCACAAATATTACATTCTTATACAACTGCACTGCATTCTCATTTACATTTTGAAAGAACCATATTGTCCTCCCTGAAAGGTGAGGGATTGATGTCATGGGAAGCGCTTCCAGTTTAAAAGAGCCCCAAAGTCTGCTTAAAGCAGTGGAGGAATACGTCTGCAACAGGATCCAGGAAACCAAGAACTGTGTCCCAAGTGGAAGCATCAATCCTAGAAGTTTCGTTCATTCAATATCTGCTCTCATTTCCACTCACTCTTTGATTAGGATTGACAAAACAACTTGGTTCGCTTAAGTAATTATCGTGCCTTGGATTAAAATACACCCTTTGACTTCTCCATAGGAGCTCTAACAGTGACCTATACATTTGTTTTGTTTGTGTAGCAGTGATAAAACATCTGCACTCCCTTAAACACTTACAATTGTTTCTAGAGACGTCTGAATTTATCAATTTTTTTTTCATTTTTGACACAATACGCAACAAAACGCTGACAAGCTTGTTGATCTTAACAGCTCATTTCTGCACAGGAAAGATTATTTGAAGAGAGCTGAGTGATGAGCAGTGATGAGCTGTTTGGCTCTGTCTGAAAAGATCCCTTTCCACCCCCTAATTCTCATCAAATAATAACATTCCACCCCTGTGGAGAAAGGCCTATGAGTCACCGGCAGTGTACGTCTGCTCGTGGCCAAGGATGCACTGGAGAGACGGCGCTGACAGGAATCATAACTTTCCGGTGAGATGACAAGCCGAGCAGCAGACAGAGGCTGAAGTAATCTACAGAAACAGTGGAAGGCAGCGTGGTGATGTACTATAGATGCACACGTGCGGGTGTGTCTGGGATGTTATGGGGAAGCGGGAAAAAAAAAAAAGAGAACTATTTAGGTTAAGAGTAATGTGATGCTAAAAATAAATAAATAAATAAATAAACAGAACTTGCCCTAAACAGGCATCCACATTTTTTTTTTCTTCCTGGCAGAGAACAAAAAAAGCATTTAAAGTCTCACAGGACACTAAAAGTGGAACCCAGACTAATGAAATTCTTTTAGCTGAACTAGCAGCTCTTAAGGAAGAGTGACAAAGAGTTATTGCAGCTTTTTACAGACTGACATCTCTTAAACCGAGGAGGAAGGGAAAAAAAAGCTGAGAACTCCATCATAAAACACGTTTGGAGTAATAACTGTCCAATCTATGACTTGACGCTTACAGCAAAACAAATATATCAGTCTCCTTTAAAGCACATACACTGCCAAACATACATGTTTAAGTATAAATAAAGTTCACCATATGTATATGTAACAAATATGATGCTTATTTACATTTAATTCGAGGAGAAAGCACTACTTGAAGTTTAAACCCTTGAAATGTCAAAAGTTTTTTGGTTTTTTTTTTAAAAGACAAATCCTGATTGCAGTCATTTAACATGAAATATCTGACTATATGCAGTCCAATGTCCATCCATCCATTATCTATACACCGCTTAACCCTCACTAGGGTCATGGGGGGCTGGAGTCTATCCCAGCCGACTTAGGGTGAAGGCAGGGGACACCTGGACAGGTAACCAGTCTATCACAGAGCTACACTTAGAGACAGACAACCAAGCACACTCACATTCACACCTACGGACAATTTACAATCACCAATTAACCTCAACATGTTTTTGGACTGTGTGGGAGGAAGCCGGAGAACCCGGAGAGAACCCACGCTGCACGGGGAGAACATGCAAACTCCACACAGAAAGATTCCCCCACTGGGACGCGAACCGGCAACCTTCTTGCTGCGAGGCAACAGTGCGACCAACTGCGCCACCCTGCAGCCCACAGTCCAATGTGATATATGGAAAGTGTCCCTGAAATAGATTAAATGTGACACACATTTGCTGGCAATCACTACCGGTGTTTATCGTCATAGAAAAAGTTGACTGTTGAACTGAACTGCTTGTGTTCTCAGTCGTTCATTTACTGTGTACAGGTGTAAATGTAATGACCACTGTTGTACCAGAGTTACAATGGGTTCATATAAACGACGAATCGCAAATGAAGTGGTGAATCCAGATCAATTAAAAACACGTTGACCAGCCTCCTTCTCCATCCTTAGACGTTATTCCCATAAACGAGTGAATACAAACATCTATCAGGAAGCAGATTTTAATATCGCCCCGCACACATCCACATGCTGAGGGGCTAGAAGGTAAGATGTCAGTGCCTAACCTTGATTTTTTTTTCTTTTGCTTTGGGCAATAGCTAGTGTGCCTGTTGTGAAAGCATGAAATATTGCTTAAAAGCCTCGAGAAAGTAAACAAAACTCGGGAGACGTTGTGCTTTGAGTTTTTGAAACAGTCAGAAAACATCTATCTGTGTGTCGGGAGGGAAACTTTCCACTCACCTCTGGCACTCGCTGGCGTGGAGAACCAGGTCCTGGTTGTTCTTGGCGCTGACGGTGAGCTCGTGCTCGGTTGGGTTGAAGATGTCGAGCAGTAGATGACACTGGCGGGTGCTGTGGACACAGACACAAGAGCTGGCTGTAGATGAATGGAGTATATGCAGTGTGAAGATCTGTTTTGGTTTGCAATGATGCACAGGCCCATTAAACGGAGAGTTCTTCTTTACACATCATACACACCTGCACAACAAAAACATCACTTGCGTCCTATAGGTGGACTTTGTCGCCAACACAAACTATGCATAATAATTTGTTTATGCATGAGGCGACAATTACTTTCTAAAAATATACACCCACATACATGGACACAGTGAACGCATGAGATCAAGAGAAGACACGGTGTGAAGTACTCATCAGTCCTTGTCATAACATCAAAGGTGGCGGCGCTTTCATCAGGCCCACAGGCCCGGAGCTGGAGCAGGTCATCTCCACATCATCCCGGGCCTGCTTTTCTCATGCAGATCATAAGAGGGCCAATTTGTGATTTAGATAAATACAGAGAGAGATGATGCTGGATTTTCAAAGAGTTAATTTTAACCCCCAAGTAGGCAGGGATTTTTTTTTTTTCCCTCCCTCTCAGTAATGAAGGATGAAAGGGATGGATATCTCAAAACAGAAACAGGGAACAGACTGTCCAGTGCAACCAGTGTACTGTTACATAAATAGTTTCTGCAGGTGTACGGGGAAGAATGTGACAGAACTCTGTGGAAAAGCAGAATTGGATTTCGGTGTCATTTTACACACGGAAATCTCTAGAGTTGCATGTACGGGGGTTTGAACGCACTTTATTGGATATTAATAAACGCAGGTCAGATATAATTTAACATCATAATGCAGATGCAAAATCAGCACTGGGAGGCTCAAACATCAGTCATTTTTTTACATTTCATGTTGCATCAACTGTTGCCGCACTGCAGTATACTTGTGTTATGTGTAAAAATGCCCACGACTGTATCGGTAATAAAAGCACATTTGGAAAGAACAGTCTAGTGTATGAAAGAAAATGAAGTAAAGTGAAGTTAACTGAGGTGAGGCAAAGGAGAGAGGAAAAAAAAAAAGGAGCAGCATTTGATGAGAAGAACACCTTGCCAACTGTTAAGTGCGGGGGCGGAAATATTCAGCTTTGGGGTTGTGTGGCAGCCAGTGGTAAGAGAAACACTTCATTAAGTTCATGAAATCGAAAGTAACAGTGCATTAAAATTTAAAGAAATGAACGTATTGAACGGCTGTTTGCTGCAGGAGTTGTATTCGCTGCTGTACAAAAAAAAGTACACAACATGGAATTTGCCCAGGGTGTCCCGACTTTAGGAGACAGCTGTAGTCCTTTTTCCACTCTGACTTTGAAGCACAACAAAAGATGAACATTGAGGCATATGTAGCACCCTCCCCAGTCGATCAAAGAACAGATGCAAAGTATATAAATATACATCCTTTGTGCAAACTGAGTCGAGCCCCGTGTTCCCTCCAGGTCACACTCAAAGCTGGCTCTTCGCCTTTTAAATCCCAGGGTTAATGGAGGCTTTAGTTGAGCATGCCCAAGTCCCTAATAAACTGCTTTGGCAATTAAAGGAGCATATTTTTTAAGGCCTACCCATGTTTCTTTAATTGTCTTGTTGTCTTTGTCGGCGGACGTGATTAACGGGCTGAACGGGGTTAGGTGCTGATTTATAGGCCGGGGCGTTCGGCAGAGGTGATCAATCAGACCACCGGGTTAAGAAACGGAGCCTCGTTGCTCATGTGCTAAGTAAGCAAGATAAAGTGAAGGAACAGAGACAGGTGTATAAGCGGAGCCAGCGTGGATGTACACCTTCTGATAAGGGTTTTGGAGTTAAAAGACCACAGCGTGAGCCCGGAACAATGCTGAGCAGCAGTGGACAACTTAATTTAAGAACCGTTAGTGGGGCTGCTGCAGATTGTCTGGAGACGAAAGCTGAAGATTACGCTTTTGAACTAGTGGGAACTGAATCATAACACTGAATCATTTTAATAAGTATTCTGCTGAGCTACTACACAGGGCACAGAGATCTCAGCTAAATAAATAATTCACAACTGCCAATAGGGTTTCAAACTATTTGTCTCCATTTCAGTCTGTGAATTTTTACGCTGCTCTCCGAGTAGCAGAGAGGGTACAAATTTATACCCCACGTTTCAAAGCGAACACATATCGAACTTGCTTCTTTGTTCATAATGTACAAAGCAAATCATCCATCAATGAAATATCAATAGGGTTGCCTTATGAACATTTAATGCAGCTCAGAATAAATTTGGCCGTATGTGCGGCTTGTGGACAAACAGCTCTATTCCTGGAAGTTATAAATGTGGCAAGGATTCATTTTATGCTCCTGCCACCATATATATATATATGAATGTAATATATAAAGTGAAAATTAATTTTAAGGAGGCAGTTGTGAACACAACAGACCCCTCCTGCGGATCATTTCAGGTGCAGCTGGTGGAGCGCCAAAGGAGAGAGAAAGCCAGTTAATGAATGCCACTGTCTATTCCTGAGAAGCAACAACACTAACAAATGAACCACGAGGTCAGCGTTTTGCTCTTATTAATCTGGAGAAGACTCTGTTGCAGTAGAGTGACTCTCTAAACCTGCCACATATCCTCCTGCCACTGTGACCACAAAAAAAAAAAGGACACAAATACAAAACAAGCAGCGCATCTAGGGCCACGGTCTGATCATCTGTGTTCCTGCACAAGCCATAAAAGAACAGACCAGTCGCAGCTTGTCGGGACACCGACTGGGCATTAGCTAGGGCTGGAGACGCTGTTGTGGTAAGGTGGTGGGCGGCAAAAATGGCACTCACAACATGCGAGGAACCAAAACTGCAAAGATCAATAGAGCTGGGCCCACACCTCGGTCAATTCTGCAAATCTGCAATCGATAGGTGCTGATTTTGCAGCCTTGCTCGAGCACAAAAACGTGACATATTCCCTGCACACGAAATGTAATGGACTTAATTAGCCTTGTTGGATTTAGAGTCCTGCCAATGACGGGGTATTTTTAGCTACAGGAGTCAATAAGGGACAGCTGACTCTACTCCTATATCCATACTTAGGGATGCAGTTAGTGAAGTTAGAAAACCTCGAATGACATTTTGCTAAAAATAACAATAATAATAATAACAATAAATTAATAAATTAATTAAATCGTCAATAATTCCGCACTGAAGTGGCATTTCACCAGAAGACATATGTTCCCACTTAAACAGCATCTGATGATGGATGTGGTTTTATCTAAGTTATAGTTGAGCCGTCCTT